TATATATATATATATATATATATTGCAACCCCCCACAACACAACTCAATACCGTGGAGCCAAAGAAATGTTTTGCAGATAAACTTAATGGCTTTGCATCAACCGGCGTTTTTGAAGGAAAGCGAGTAGATACGCGCAACCGTACAACACCGCAATCGAAGGCAAGTAGTGTAATTAAAAGTGAACGACCATCATGTATCTAAGCTTTCCCCCTATAACTGACTGCAACATGGTACAAATGAATCCACAGCTGCTTTGCACTTGGGGGCCTCCGAATCACAAGGGAGTGTTTGACTGAAAGTTTGCGCTGATTAGAAACAAATGATATTCAGCACGTAATTCAGAAATTTGCTCTATCACCTGTGCGGTGAGTGCCAACCCCAAACTAGTCGCTAAGATGGGCTTCCTCGAGACCCACTCGGCCGTCCTGAACATTTATACCACCTGCCAGAATCACAAAGTCTGTAATTTTTGCTGACCGGAGTGACCGTGACAAATTACGGTAGTCTCAGAGCAGCTGCGTGTGGGCATGTATGTTGACACAACGAATAAACACCGTTTACTACGCCAAGAAGTACTGACCTTGATTGAACCAGTCCATCTCCTAGCGAAAAGACGACAGTGTACTGCGATCCCATTTACTAGGCCCCCACTCAGTCTTGAGGTGAAGCATAACTCCCACACCTTCAATATCACGACCCATTGCATTAGGATTACCAGACACCCGACGAGTGAAGTGCGAGAGCCCTGGGTATGACCGATGTGGGATCTTGTATGGGGGTTTCGGAGATATATCACACGTCGATCAAAGGAGAGCAAGGTCTGGGCAAGAGCTATTCATTGTCAAATATAACAGAGTGCGGAAGTTGACAGAAGCCACGTGGAACAGATCCCTCGAATTTAACAATGGCTTATTTTGATTTGCTATACTTGGCACAAGCCTAGATGCGAAACAAAGGTAAAGTGGCGGGAGTGTTGGGAAGAGGGAGTGAATAGAGAGCTGTAATGGCGAATGATACTTGCCGGTTACCCAGATCAAAGGTTTGGCTGGGGCACCATTCATTGGACCTTAGACTCAAAAGTCTTGCCCAGAAAACAGTGAGAGAATGCGGTTTTTCCGAGGATCCTTCTTCTAACCTCTGACTTAAAAGTCCGAATCGTGAGATAGCGGTTGTAAGGGTTTTCTTGAGGCACCGCTCCCAGAACCAATGATTCTATAATCCGACCTTAGCTGTAAGGGTAACGGATTGACTTGAGGGAATAGGGAGTAGGACAGAGCTGTCTGAATTCTGATTCATCTGCGCGCATCAGGTACCTTCTGAGCAGTAACAAACTTCTTAGTTTTCAAATTATTTCGACCATACTGAGCAATGCGTCGGCTATCACGGTGAACTCTTGGGCAACCGAAGTGTTTGGTTTTTAGAGCTTACGTTTTCTAACCTATCCTTTCTCGGAGGAAGGCGGTATTAATGCTTCCACAGGTATGGACATACTGTCACCTAATGGAAATGCCTTCATACTTTAATCAAAGAAGACAGCACGATTTCACCTTCAGGCCACGTCGTAATACGATTTACCACAGTACGGAGACTCGCTGTTGTTCGAGAGGCTGCTCAGCATTGGCCTTCTTCGCAAGGCGAAACTTTTAGGAACTGAGTTCCAGCCAGTGTAACCCTCAGGGTTACTGCAGCACTGAAATGCGAGTTAACCAATGCTAATTGTTCGTGGCCGAACAGTCAAGTTTTCAGACTACTGACCGGGAGGTCACGGGTCTGAAACTCTGTAGTTTCGTGAGGCGCACCCTGGAAAATACTCCTCGAGTTTTCAACATAGACTGGTGTCACTTACAGAACGAAACCTCCATTGGAATTTCTCAAATCACTTCAAACTACCAACGATTGTTAGATTGTGTAGTCGGTAAGGAAGCCGACACAGACGTTGTGAAACAAAGCAGGGAAACACAAAGTACCTACCAGTTGGATCTGGTGTCCCAAAATAGTTTACGAAGTCCGCATGTAAACTTTTCGGAAAATGAGAGGGGCTGACAAAATGCAGTAGACTGTACAACTCCGTTAAATTATTCTGAACAGGAGTACCGGTCAGAATGAAGCGGAGCTTTCGGCATGCCTGTCAATGGAAAACCCAATAAGACCAAATAAGTTCTTCAGGGGAAAAAAGTGTTTGGTATAAAGCAGTGCTTCAAATACCTACTGCCGGTTTCGCTTTCTTGGAGCTCTTCAGGTAAGTGTAGCCCCCGAGACTAACATGACTCTCTCGTGTATCTCTTATTTAACAGAATATATCGCTCCAAGGCCGCCCCAAGATTTAGTTGGCAAGGCATTTGAGAAATCGACATATTTCCTTAGCATAACATTCTGATGACTGATTGATCGTTTAGCTGTAGCACCCTCTCGGTGCCTAGCTACTGTGCCACACGAAGAAGGCACGAGGGCTGGGATACTACCAGGTCGCCCAAGCCTAGACAGGGGAAGTCGAGAGGCAGAGGTCGGATTCGAACAACGGACCTTCCGGTCAGTAAATTCGCACTCCAACCACTTGGTCCAACTCACCCCCGCATAACATTCCACTTCCGACCAAATTCGGTTGATAGTATGAACGCGGGATTCAGATGAGTCACATCGATGTTATCTGCGGATGGGTGTATTCCGTCAAAAAGCAGTTCTTTCTATTAGGACGGTGGCCAAAAGGCTCCAAAAAGGCTAAGCGATCAGATAAGGGAACTAATATCGGTTTCAAACCAGTCGCCGCCGAGCAGGAAGAAGCAATTTGTAATTTTCAGTTAATCGTTTTTAGTAAAAGCGATAAATGGCTTGCTTGGCTGCGACGAAAGTTAGCATTGTTCATTACTTCGTGTTCCAGTATACTTCAACGAATGAGCCAGCCTCGCGGATATCTAGTGAGAATGTCGTGAAAAGTACTGGCAACCTTATATGGCAGAAAGCGTCCTTATCGTCACAACTTTCGTTCAAAGGGCACTACCGGACTTTCACAACAAAGTGCGAACTGTAGAATAGCGAAAAAGAGTGGAAAGTTGAATTGGACCTTAGAAATCGGGCCGCAACTTGAGCTCACTCACCAACCCAGCCGGGCCTTTTCAGCCGTTTGTTGTTGCGCATCCTATGGAGACCCACGTACCATACATTACTGAAAAGGTTCGAAACCTTAATTCAAGCAGGTAAGCTGCTGAATAGCTGTCAAGTCGTGCAACTCACAAGTCGCTTGGAACTCGTGTTTGAAGGTAACCGAATTCACATCGGTATTTTTAGTTGAAATGCACGTAAGGAAAAACGTCGGTTTCCGGTACTTAGTTCTTGGGTTACTAACTAAAAGAGCTGGCATAAATGAGGCACAAATGCAAAGACGTCGGTAGACCTATAATTAGCTAACCTCACGCCTGGATTTCTTGTGAAACTACACTAACTAAAGCCAACTAAGACAGGTTACGCGGACTTGGATCAAAACCTGAAAATCTGTATCTGGTCGGAAAATTAGACTGGGCCAGCAATCCTTAAAGTTCTGAGGGAGAACCGTTACAACACTAAAAAACCACGGCCCAATTAAACGAATGGAAGGCAGACCCACCTCGGATAGCACCTTATAAAGCAGGGAATCCGAATTTTTCAGTCGATGTCCCTCGTCCACAACGAGGATATCCCAAGATACCGTTTCTAAGAAGAGTTGATCATTTATGCAAAGCTGAAGGAAACCGTCTGATTTCACGCGAAATACCTTACCTCGTAAGTGGTCAAAAGAATCGGACAGGGTTTGGCCTTGAACGCAGAACGCTTCTCTTCACGAACAGTTTGGTCACCAGAATAAATGAGGAAGCCTATCGATGGGAAGAATCTGTTGCAACGTGGTTAATACCAGCACGAAAAACAGCTAGTTCTTACCTATTCAGTTCGTTGATCCAATTATCCATCACCGACAGCGGGCACACCAGCAAGATTGAACTATGAGGTTTACGACGAAAATAGGCCGAAAGAAATGCTATGACCTAGTTCATCATTCAGTTGAACTTCCTCAGAGCACTCACCTGACATGTTTTCCCCAGACCCATCTCATCGCACAATATAGCCCCACGGTTTTGAAGGGAACAGCTAGCCAACCAAGAAACACCAGAGAGTTGATAATCCCTAAGGGTAACATTGCGGATACCAAACTGGTGCAAATCTTCCGAAGTAATATCTGCTGCATTCACATCGATGGCACATGCAGAGTCAATGGCTTCTTGAAGTAGCATTATTCAACGGCAAGTAGGGTGGGTTTACAAGGAGCTGAAAACGAATATCAAACAAAAAGGCGATTTAGTTTAAATGAGTTCCATATGGAAGCATCTAGCCCATTATTCAGGTCTTTGGATAAGTCTATGAGACCCTATGTCAGTTGCACCTGAGTGTAGCAAGCTCTCCAAGAGCAGAAAATAAAGTATGGGCTGTGACTGTACACGAAAAACGCCCAAAATACTGGTGGGCTACCTGAGGGTGGGCATAAAAATGGACAGCACCGATACTAATCGCCTAGCTGTTTTTAAAAAGGAGTACGGAGAGCTAAAAGATGGACGCCTCAAACAGGCCCTCTAAGATGGAAAATTAGAAACGTCAGAGATTGCGCTGAGCGACAAACCGTAGCAGTTTTGTTTCTCAGACAAAAATTACCAGACTTGGGTAGCACACTCCAAGGGACCGTTAACAAAGACAATACATGCTGTCGTTTGACGTTCGTTCATTTCAACTGAACATTGATGTTAGTCTGTTCGGATCACAAAATCCTTCACGATGTTACAGTTAAGCAATGCAAGAAGAAAATGGCAGCAATAATCATCATCAGAGACAGCAATATCAGTGTTCACACTGATACTCCACTGCTGCAAAATAGCAGCAACCTCACAGCCGGGGCCGACAACGTATCATCTTTTGAAGCTTGAACTCAGGTACATGGGAATCGCCCAACACTACCCAGGAAAATGGAAAGATTCCAATGTACTCATTTTGATGAGAGTTCTGTGTCCTGGTTTGTGCAGACCTGAGTAGCTCTAGTCAGTTTTGATTCAGTTTATCATTTACAATCATGTAACAAGGATACGTTTGTTTCATCTGCTAAAGATATGGTCACCGAAAAATTGGCGAAAACAAATAGGGTCAATCACTGGAATTCATAACCAAATCAACTGGTTAATTTTGAACCAGTGTGGCTATCTCATGATGCCCGGGATAGCTCAGCGATTAGGGTGCGAAATTACTGACTGGAAGATCCATGGTTCAAAGCTGACCTCAACATCTCGACTGCTCCTGTCTAGGCTAAAGTAAACTGGCAGTGTCTCAGTACTTGTGCTTCCTTCGGTTGTCGTGGCAGCTATGCACTCAATTATTGTTACTGTTATTTTATCTCGCGAGGCGAGAAACTGCGCAGTGAAGGCGATAAATTTGATGGAGACATACCACTGACTGCGTAACTGAGCCATGTCTGTCATTGGTGAGTTGGCGCCACAGGTTGGCAAGCTATCCTGGCCCACCTGATCAGGAATTCGCTTGCCGTACAACCAGAGAGGATCGGGGATCTGAAGTGGGCATACGTAGGCGACAAATATAGCTATCGAGTTCGAAAAGACTAAGCGGTGCCTCTAACCAACAAGGCGCAGACCGCGTCAGGTCCATGTGACAGGTGATATGATGGGTTTCAGCCATGTTCAGAAGGATCAGCGATAGAATCAGTCACGACAGGAGTGCCCGCTCAAGTTGCTCACAAAATCATCCGATTATTCTGTTGTCTTGCGGTAACCTGTCGAACAAACCCGAGTAGTCAGTAGGTTGTCAAAAGCGGATTCGAAAAGGGAGTAGTAACTCTTGTTAATGAGCAACCCTCCGCTCTACGAAAGATCACGAGACCATCATGAAGCAAAAGCCCGGTAGGCAAAGGGTCTCCGGCCAGTTGAGAGGCATTGTTTCGGCCTCGTGCGTTTATAACTAGTTTGTGAAAGACGGGTGGGAATATAAACACCGATTTCATGATAATTATCACAGACAACTCTATCGCTTTCCTTGAAGATTTGTAGCAACAGTGAAGTGTCTCGGTCTCTCGGAACACGTTTAATTTTTCCACAAGGAAATGGCCTCTAAAGTGGCTCGAGAAGGCCCCAGCTTGGACCGTTTTATTCGAGGGCTTTTCTGTTCTTCAGTCGTTTCATATCCGGTTTACTTGGCTCTTTACAGTTGACTTTATATGATTTCGAGCTTGGACTCATGGAAAGGGTGTAAAGTGAACGTTAGTTTAGCAGTCACTTACGGTACACTGCCCACTGCTTTACCTAGTTACGGTTCAGGAACCATACATTTGTAACACGCAGCTGATGCTGTTCAATCCGGAATTTCTTCGACATGACGCATTTGAGGAAGGTTGCATGATGCTCCAATACCATCGATGACAAAGCTTTCCAAGATCACAAACATCCAAAGCTGATAGCATGTCTCATGTTATGCCCATTTGTGTGACGCCGTTTATGACTGCAGACAGTAGCCATTCGCCGGAGCATGATAAAGTCTTGGTGAGATTGGCTTCCATTGCATTTTCGAACTAAGAGATTATTTTTTCAGACGTTTAGTCTTTAATACGTAGTTGCACATACCTCGATTGGTTCATTGGCTTGTGTGGAGGTCCTTAATGGGATCGGTCGGTCGTTTACGTGGACATACTCGCTGTCTGAGGGGGGAAAACTGTTACGGCATCTCTGGTGGCTTAGTGGTGTCAGGTTAATGTGCTGTGAAGAACACTTCTCACTTGGCCTGTAGGTGGAGTATGAACCTGGTTCGTAGTGTAGCTTGCACTTTCTGCGTTTCCAGCATCAGCAGCACTGTAATTGATGGGGACCACTGTGTGCACGTCAGAATACCACCTATCCGGGATGCTGTGCACCGTTGTTTGAGAACCACACCAGTGCGTCTTTATAGAGTGATGAGAAAGGATACCACTAAGAACGAGCTGATCTACAAAGACTAAGATTATGGGTCTGTCAATACTTTCAAAGAGTTCTCTCAATTTTCAATGGGTTGATCTGCGCGTGGACGCCCTGGCAGTATCCCAGCCCTCGTACAACCATGACATTCACAACTAACAATACTCACACTCCACATCAGCCGGATCGCCTTACTTGCTGCATACAGCAGGGCGGATAAGCGAAAATAGGCTACTGCTGACGCCTCCCTTCTTTATCTTTCACATACTTTTTCTCCCCCCTCTTTCCATCCCATTAATAACTGTCTCTTTGTAGGTCCCTCACTTAGGTCCGATGAGTCCATTCGTCATGCATCGGTTTTGCGTGCAGCATCTCTTCGTCACATGGTGCCGACATCCTCAGGTATCTCCAAATCAGTCTTCAAGCCTCGACACTAAGTCTATCTGGCCACGTTCAATGTCTGCACTCTGAAGCAAGCAGGACAACAAACTGCTCTTGTACTCACACTGGACTCGCTTGGTATTGATGTGTGGTGTGTCTTAGAAACGAGAATTCGAGATGCAAGCACAGTGATTGAACTCACTGCCCCGTCAGTCTCCACTCCCTTCCGGCTGCGCACCTCTGGTGATCCAGAGGTGGCTGCGGCGGGATGTGCAGGGGTTGGTATTGTGCTAAGTCACCGGGCGGAAGTATCCCTACTTGACTGGATACCTGTTGATAGTCGCCTCTGTGCGGTTCGTCTGGCAACGTCTGTGAAGAAGTCTCACAAGCGGCAAGTTGATAGATGTCTGTTTATCGTGTCTGCCTATGCCCCAACTGATTGTAGCTCTGACACCGTCAAAGATGGGTTTTACGACGCCCTGAATGCTCTGCTGTGGCGAGCTAAAAGCTCAGACAAGGCGGGGGTTGCCGGAGATATGAATGCACAGGCAGCCTTAGTGCATGAGACTCAATAAGGAGGTCGACATGGACTGGACTCGGTACGTACGGACAATGGGGAACGATTGCTTCAGCCTTGTGCTGATCTCAGGCTGTTTTTATGCAGTATTAACTTCCGAAACAGCCGAAGTCGCCTGGCCACATGGCGACCTCCAACGGCAGGCCGGCCACAAACTCAAATCGACCACACTGCCATCAGTTACCGACGGCGCGAATCAATAACTGACTACCGGTAGTTTTGGAGCAGATTTGTGGACTCTGACCACGCACTAGTCCGGAGTCGCTTTTCCCTACGTTGTCCTGGACCACGTAGGGTGCGAACAAATAGCTTAGCAACTGAGAGGCTGGCGGATCCGGATGTTAGATGAATTTACCAGAATCGTCCTCTGGATTCTTTCAAACGCTCAACCATCAGATGTAAACGCATACTGGGACGAAATTTCCACCTCTTTGCATAATGCTGAGAATTTTGCCTGTGGCACGGCACCATCAGACGCACCCAGGCATCGGATATCAGACCGAACGGCGGCACTGCCTAAATCTCGGAGAAATATCCCAGCCGGTACCGAACATAACCCGGTGCGAAGAGTTATCAGACGTCAAGTGAAAGTGAACGTGCGAGCTGACCGTGGAGTATGGTGGACACAGAAAGCCAAAGGAATGGAAGAGGCCCAGAAAGACGGTAATGCCCGAAGATTATTTCAGTTGGTCCGTGCGACCAGTCTCAGGGAACTACCTGTGAGCGAAACCATCAAGGATCGAAAGGGATTGACCACCTCAAATAAAGAAGAACGCCTCGACCGGTGGGCTGAATACTTCGAACAACAACTGTCGTGGCCACCAGCTGGCATTCATCTAGAGCCCACAGGTGAAGTAGTACCTTGGACGGTGAACGTGGAACCACCTACGGCCTCGGAGGTTTACGACTGCATATGTTCTCTCAAGCGCTACCGAGCTCCTGGTCCGGATGACCTTCCACCCGCACTGTTCAAAGACGGGGGTGAAGTCCTCAGTCAGTGCTTGTCCGATCTATTTGCTTGCATTTGGGAACAGGAGTCTGTCCCAGACAACTGTTTTCAAAAAAAGATGAGCGTAGTGAGTGTGGTAACCACAGGGGGGTAAGTTTGACTGTTGGCGTCAATTGTGCTTCATCGCCTTACGGTGATTCGCGAGATACTGACTCAAGAGCAGCAAGCAGGATTCTGGAACGGTAGGGGCTACGTTGACCAAAGCTACACACACGCCATACGTATAGGCGACCGACAATTCTAGTATTCCTGGATTTCCGAGGCGCGTTCGACTCGGTTGATCGGCCTGTTCTTCTTGACAAGCCTGCCCACCAAGAATGCTCC